ACCTGTTTACGTAGCAGGATTGTTTATTACTCTACTCCCTACTTAGACCTCCATAAAAAGGACCGCAGGCTCCTCCATTTCCCTCATCTCCTTCTTCTTCCTCTGTCCTATGAGGTAATGCACTAGAAAGTATAAACCATTTTTATTTTTTCTGCGGTTGCGTCTGCTGATCCTGTTTCTAGTTTTGCAGAAAGATGGGTTCTTATCACCAATGGAGTTTGTCAATCTGTTTCTTGATGATGGTCTGTGGAGCAATGGGAGCAGCTCCAAGGAAACCAGTAGATGTACCATTTGGGAGAAACTATATGCCCACCTGGGCTTTTGATCATATCAAGTACTTCAATGGTGGATCTGAGATCCAGCTCTCTCTTGACAAGTACACTGGTATTACTAAATCCAGTATTGCACTATGTTCCTTGCATTCTTTAGCTTGCCCATTCCCATATTTAATCTTTCTTTGTTTCAGGTACTGGTTTTCAGTCAAAGGGTTCTTATCTATTTGGGCACTTCAGTATGCAGATTAAAATGGTTCCTGGAGATTCAGCTGGAACTGTCACTGCTTTCTATGTAAGTGAGCAATGAATATTGCCATTCTTGACTTGTGCTTTTATTTACTCTGAACATTGTTTGATGATTCAGCTGTCTTCTCAAAACTCGGAGCACGACGAAATAGATTTCGAGTTCTTGGGAAACAGATCAGGGCAACCATACATTTTGCAGACAAATGTGTACACCGGAGGGAAGGGAGACAAAGAACATCGCATTTATTTGTGGTTTGATCCATCCAAAGAATACCACTATTATTCTGTATTGTGGAATCTCTACCAGATTGTGTAAGTCTTGAGTTCTTCATTGAATCTGCCACTGCCACCCATATTTTTGTTTTTTGAAATCATTTCGACAACATCTGTAAATTCTCATGATTTTACTTTTCTGTTAACAAATTAACTTTTTTTCCAACACACTTACTTTTCAAAAAGATAAATTTGCCTTTTCTTGCAATGTTTAAGACAAAGAAATGTTTTTTTCCTCTCTCACTCTGACTTATACTCAACTTTTTGACTTGAGTCCTCACGTGAAATTATTAAATTTAGTCATTGTTTCTATTTATTTATTTTTCAACTGTTGCCTCCAGGCTCCATGTGACAATTTTGACTTCTAGGACCATTTATTTGTCTTCAATTTTCTTCTCCGTGTGGTTATATGCCATCTGTAGTGGCCCCGTTTGAGGCTTTTTTTATTTATTTATTTTTTAAAATGAGTTTTTGAAGGAATAATATTATTTAGCTACACTAGATGTATAATCTTATGTGTCGTTAACGTGACATTAAATAATAGATTAAATTTAATGCCAACCATCATTTAATGTTACATTGAGATCACGTAGATTGAAATTGTAATTTCAGTTGAACTAAATAATATTGCTCTTTCTAAACCTTGTTTGAGCTTCATTCTTTTGAAAAAAATGTTTTTTTCAACTTTATTTAAATATCATTTCAATCACACATTTTTCAATAAAATAATATTACATGTAAATTCAAAACTATTCTTTATTTTTTAACCATATATTTTCCATCAATACAGTATTTAAAAATCCATTCTCTTTCCCAAAATGGGTCTCAAACAAAGGTTAAATGGTAATTTCTTGGAGAGTACATGATTCGAAAAAGTTTAGTGGCTTACTTGAGAAATATTGTGTCATTGAAAATGAGTAGAAGAAAAAAGAGTTTTGAAAGAATTGTTTCCAAACCTACTCAACCACATATTTTTCATTAAAATAATATTACACATAAATTTAAAAAAAAAATTCTTCTTTTTTAACTATATTTCAACATCAACCGTTATTTCATAATATATTTTTTAAAATTAAAGGGACACAAACAGCCCC